TAACCAGCCAGTTGTTTAATGACTTTTGACTTCAAGAGGAATTTCTCACCCTGGTGCAGTGCTTGTTTGTCAGGACCAGGTAAGGCCTTATGAGGCTGAGGCAATCCAATTGTAAGCTGAAGGTTGCTCAGAATATTTTGATATTATGATTATACAAAAAAGGGAGGTCATAACATAAGTTAGTGTGGAAAGTCTGATTTTTCAGAGCACTCCGTCTCTATCCAGAATGTCAGTCAATAGAGGGTGTATAGCTTATGTCAACTGGATTAAAAAGATGTTGTACATGTACACAATGGAATATTACTCAGCAAGCAAGAAAAAGAAACACATGGAGCTGGAAAAGATCATGCTTAGTGAAATAAGTCAGAAAAAAAAGGAAAAATATTGGATAGCTTCTCTCATAGCAGGAATGTAATGGAACAGGTGAGAAAATAGTGATAATGATGAACAGCTATATACCAGAAGCGGACTGGGGAATGGGATCAAAAACAGTGGGGGGAGGAAAACACACTGAACTATGGTGATGGCACATGGGGATTCGGTGATGAGAAATCCAAGGGGGTTGCGACTGAGATGGAAAAATACACAAAAATATGTAAAAATAAACTATTATAAAATTTTTTTAAATAACAAATAATTAACAGGCAACACTAAATCTGAGACATTCTGTGGGAATGGGAAGTTAAAGGGATTAAAACGAGGGAGGAAAGAGCACAAGGGACAATAGGGATGGTGCATAGGTGAACTGGTGGTGAGGATGTTATGGGGACTACACCTGAGAGGAAAAAGCAGAAATTGTACAAAAATAAACAATGATGTAAAATATATGAAAAAAAATAATTTTTTTTAAGTTTTAAAAAAAAGAATATGAATGAACAGTATGCTAATCCAGTGCCTGGCCAAAAAAAAAGATATAAACCCACATTTGTACAGACAGTCTATGATAAAGGAGTCAAGTGTCAGTGGAGAAAGGAATATCTCTTCAATAAATAGTACTCGGAAAACTGAACAGCCACATACAGAAAAAGGAAACTAGCCACTCTCTCACACCATACATAAAAACTAACTCAAAGTGGATTAAAGATTTGGATGTGAGAGTACAAACCATTAACTACATAGAAGAAATCTTAAGCCAAACACTCCATGACAGTGACTTAGCGACGTCTTGGGAGACTTGAAACCATAAATGTCTGAAAAATTGGTGGGAATTTGTCATAACTTCAGAGAGGAAAAACATTTTTTTAATTTGATTTTAGGCATTTTTGATTCATAGAACTTTTTTTAACTCCTTGTTTTAGATTGTTTTAATATTAGAATAGTTTATTTTTACATCATTTTATGCCTTTTTCCATCTCAGTTGTAATCCCGTGGGCTTCCCACCACCAAATCACCCATGTGCCATCACCATAGTCCAGTGCACTTCCCCCATCCCATTGCCCACCTCACCCCCCATAAAATATCTCTAGTAGGGCCCTCCCTGGTGGCGCAGCGGGTTAAAGCACAGCACTGAGAATCTAAAAGCCACTTCCGCATGAGTTCGAT